ATAATTGAATATCTTACGATTATTATTATTTCATGCCAAGTACTACAATAAACAGTGGTTCGAACGAGTCCCTACGAGAATGAATTAAACAATTAATCGGCCTTTTGTGAGAGCCCAAAAGAATTGGAGAGTGGGTGCCCTTCTGAAGAGCACACTCAGTGATTTGTGTGTGAAATGCCTTAATTTTAATCTTCGTGTTGGATTTTAAGGACTGTTCAAGTTGAATTCAAGTGGGAGGTCACCTTTTAATACAGTTGGAGCTATTTTAGTCACGATTGACGTCATCAAGGTCAACTAATTTAATCATTTTATTCTTAGATATCAACCAGGATTCTCTTTCGTCTAGCAAACTTGAAGTAATTGACTTTGACTGCACGGTTGGCTAAGGGCTGCCGCGCAACTTGTGACGGGTTCAATTTCCGTACGGAGCAACTCTTTGTGTGATACCCAAATGGTTGTTCCTGGTCTGAGTGTCATGTGTATGAGTAATTGTATTTTTGTAAAAGCACCCACGATACAGGAAAAAATACCTAGTGTGGGGGGGGTATCGTTGTAATTACACAAAAAAAATTCAATCGTTTATTACCTAATGGGAAAAAATTATAGAACAACTTGAATTTTAGTTAAAATAGTACATTATAAAATTCATATGTTAGTCGAGTTTCAATGAGATTTTGATCCGTCGGGATTTGCAGTTTTATCTCAGGTCGGAACTTTGTTAACCGTTATCAAAATTGGCTTTTAAATGGTTCAGTTAATAGCTGATCGGCGGATATATGTTCATAGTTATTTATCGTAATCCTACTACTATAAAAAATACGTATACTTTGCCTTCGTACCATGAAATTTTTGTAATTATCGAACTGAATACATTTTTCAAAATACTGAATTTTTGAAAAAAGAACTCGAGTAGAAGTGATCGCTAGAAGAGGCCATGACTTCTAAGTTTGTATAAGTGTTCCTTTTGAGAGCAGTCACGAAATGATGACCTCATCTAGCTAAGTTCAACAATATTTTTTTTATAGCATAAGCCGATCAACAATCAGACGGATCACCTGATGGTAAGCAATCGGCGCCGCCCATGGACACTCAAAACCAAGGCGTTACAAGTGCGTTACCGGCCTTTTGGGAATTGGGAATTTGAGGATGTAATTGGGCCTCCGGTAACCTCACTCACACGATGAAACACAACGCAAGCGTTGTTTCACGTCGGTTTTCTGTGAGGCCGTGGTATCACTCCGGTCGAGCCGGCCCATTTGTGCCGAAGCATGGCTCTCCCACACTTGATATTGACGTATAGAAGTGTATGTTGTAACCTATTACAGAAATACAACGAATTATAAGTATGATTGGTTTTGGAATAAGTTTATGCCTCGCACCAGACCCTACAAAGCCTCGAGGCACCAGGATATGCAGAGGTACAGTGCATCGCCTCTATTCAAATGATTGTGGCCGTATTGTAATATTAGCAAGCGCTTGGGGAATCCCGTCCAGCTACGATTACATCATATTGACTTAGAGAATTGATAATCTTGAGAGCTTCGATCTAGAAACTATTATTGTTAAAACTTCTAGGATCTAAAATCTTTAGACGAGTATTTTAAAAATTGATATCTACTATATAGAAATAAGTCGGGTTCTCCTTCCTGATGCTATAACTCCAGAACGCACGAATCGATTTCCACGGTTTTGCATTCGTTGGAAAGGTATCGGAGTTTATAGAAAAGAAAATTCAAGAAAAAAAGTTTTAACATAACATAACATCATGCCCTTTTATCCCCGAAGGGGTAGGCAGAGGTGCACATTACGGCACTTAATGCCACTGTACAATGTAACACCCACTTTTCACTATTTATGTTACGAGTCCCATGTAATAGGGGGTTAGCCTATTGCCATATACCGGGCACATTTCCAGACTCCGTGCTACTACTGAGATTTTTAAAACCTAGTAATACTTTGCCCGACCCGGGAATCGAACCCGAGACCCCGTGCCCGGCAGTCGCACTTGCGACCACGGGGCCAACGAGGCAGTCTTCTTCAAAAAAAGTTTTCTTCATCTTTTAATCACCAAACGTAATGTTGCATAAAACGAAGCCATCTGGTGGCGAAACGGAGTTCGCCTGGTTTGCTAGTATACAATATATTGATGATTATATGTATACCAACGGTCTCGAAAACTGTTCAACGAAATTCTTATAATTCAGGGAGTTTCAGGGACGATAAACCGATCTAGCTAGATTTAATTTTCACAAAATATCGTTTACTAATAAAAAAACACCGAGCAAAGCTCCTTCATTCGTGTACATTTTACTTAAATAAGAACAGAACTGACACTGCTTACTTTCAGTGTAATTTTGACCTGGGATTTCACGCTGAGTATACCTTCTTACAACATGCGAGCCGACAGCAATAAATCGCTGCCAAAATATAATTTGACAGCTATACTGGCAGTTCATAGAATGCGCCAGTTGTTTCGTAATAAGTACGAATAAAACAAACTAACAGTCGGCAGTTACAATAGTAACGTATTTGCAAAATAAATCATAAGTCAAGCAGTGCATGAAAGCTGTGCTAAAAGGCAAAGAGTATAATAATATGAGGACAGAAATGTTACACACTTTCTGCCTACTACTATAAAATTTGAGTGTGATGACACTCCTATTATTATTTTATCCGGTAAATGAGCAGATGCATCACCTGATGGTAAGTAATCGGCGCCGTCCATAGATACATGAAACTGTAGAGTGCGTTACTGGCCATCTGGAGATGGGGAATTTAACGGTTGTTGGGGATTCTAGGATTTTTTTAGGGTGGAAAGTCCTTCGATAATCTTTTCTTGGGTGAGGCAAGAGGGATTGTCAGACTCTTATTGACTAAAACCACCCTGTTCTTACTCCTACCCATCGTTCCGTAGCCACGGCAACCCGTTAAGTCCGCTGCGTCTTCGCATGGGGCATCAACATAACTAGGCCACACCTGTGATGATATGGTATTTTTTAGAGGGGCGTATGATCACTAGCGGCGTTCGTTTAGTAGTTTACCCCATATTGCAATATAAGTTACGGTTTACCCACTTGGAATATTTGGGAATACCTTTAGTAGTTTTAAATCACAATGATTCCCAGCCGTAGTGACGCGGCGACGATAGTTGGCAGCGCGACATTCTAAAGCTTGTCTTTAATATTAATTTACATGAGTAATCCATTATTTTTAATTCATTTTATCTTATATTCTTATATACTATTATACAGGGTTACAGGTTAAGTCGACCTAGATCCTTTAAGGGGTTTTAGTTTTCATCATTCCTAGCTGATTTGACCATGAGACACCCCACCCCAAACCAACCCATACTGAGATATTGGATTTTGATTATTTTTAAATAAAATTAGGATTTTTTGTATAATTGACCCTTTTTTCGGATTTTGTGCCTCTAATTCATAGTGTTTTTGCTATTTTTGTGTAGTAGATTAGTTTTTTTATTACTCTCAACACAAAAAAAGCAGGTAACTGAACCAACTGGGTAATAGTCGATGATTGAAAGATTAAAAACTAAACAAATTTGTATAAACATTTTTTTTCTTTTAAGAATATTTCAAAAAAGTCTATGACAGTTATGCTGCAGATGTACTAAATAAAATCTACGTTTCTTTAGCTATCCAACAAGGTATAACAAGCTAGGGTATCATCATGATATTCAGAAAAAAAATTCTGATGTAATGCTCTCAGGCAGTAGTCAAAGTCAAAGTCAAAGTATTTATTCGTGTGCTTTTTGGTGATACAAAAGGGTCTTAAAATTATTATTATAGTAGCGCAAAAAGCTGCCCATTAGGCATACACTATTTAAAGTATAAAAATATTCATCACATTCAAAATTGTAACAAAAATAAATAATAAAATGTCAAAAATTAGTCACAATATAAATTATAAATTATAACAGGCATTAAATAAACAATCAATAGCAAAAATGTCAAAAATTTTGCAACAAAATAAATTAATACAAGCACTAAATAAACAATAAGTTACCCAAGTTTTCATAATTAATTATACACATAGTTGTCAGTTTATTACATTTTGTCATGAAAGAAATCGTCAATGGTATAATAGCATTTATCAATTAGAAAATTGTTAAGTTTCCGTTTAAATTGTGTTAAATTCAGATTCTTGATAGTATTTGGGATTTTATTATATATTTTGGGTGCCATGCAAAGGATACTTTTGTGCTTAAGGGCTGTCTTTGAGGCTCTCAGACATAATTCGTGTCGACGTTCTGATCTTGTCGATCTATGACGGTCCTCAGAGGCTTTTTTAAACAAAGTACTATTTTTTCTGACGAACAGTGCAGTTTCGTATATGTAAAGGCAGGGTAAAGTTAGTATTCTAAGAGATTTAAAATGAGGTTCACAACTGTCCGTTACTTTCAAGCTACACATCGACCTAATGCACCTTTTCTGTGCTTTAAAAATAGTACATTTCTCGGAGGAATTTCCCCAAAAAATTACACCATATCTTAATGTGGATTCAACATAACCATAGTATGCAGCAACAACTGCTGCCTGGTTAACTATTTTCTTGAGTTTGTATAGAGCAAAGGCAAAGCGACTTAATTTTTTTATAAGAATTGATGCATGTTCTTTCCAAGTCAGTTTACAGTCAATAGTTAGTCCCAAAAATCTTGTATGGATGTAATGCTCTCAGGCAGTAGTAAAACATAACTGTACTTAAGGACAAAGTTATCACTTGGGCCAGCAAACGAAATAAAACAAACTAAATAGCTTAAACAACGTTTATTATTATTTTTTACAATACATGTTCCACATGTCCGCCTCTGTTCCGCACACATATTCGCATTCTATGCCTTAGTCCACTTTTAACCACACCAGTCGTTAAGCCTCTTCTAATTTCGTTAGCCGCATCAATAATTTTCTGTCTTAAAACATCAACAGATGAGATCGGATGAGGTTCATTGTAAACTAAGCTTTTCATATGGCCCCACAAATAAAAATCCATGGGGGTCAGGTCGGGACTTCGGGCTGGCCACGGTATGGGTCCACCTCTTCCAATCCATTTGTTCGGGTAATTAGTGTCTAGCCACTCTCTGACGCTTCTTCGGTAGTGTGCAGGGCAACCGTCATGTTGATACCACATATTATTATCATTTAAACTGAGGGGTAAATCTTCCAGTAATTCGGGTAAATCATTTCTTAAAAAGTTTTCATAATCTTCCCCATTTAAATTGTCAGGCAGAAAATGTGGCCCAATCAAATGGTTTGAGATTATTCCCATCCAGACATTCAAACTGAACCGTCTCTGTGATCCCTTTGGTCGCTTCTTATTGGGATTTCTGTTTTCTTTTGAAGCCCAATAATGAGCGTTGTGGTAATTGGTGATGCCGTCTTTATCAAATTTTGACTCATCTGTCCACAAGATGTGTTTTAAAAATGCTGGGTTTTCTAAATCTGCGTTGAGCATGAATCTGCAGAAATCTAATCTCCTCACGGGATCTCCTTCTTCGATAACATGTACCGGCGTGTAATGGTATGGATAAAGGCCTGCAGTATTCACTGTAAACCACACTTTCCACTGCGATATTCCAAGTTCTCGGGCAACAATATTAGTGGAAGTAGTTGGATCCGATCTAAACCGTTGTACTATTTCATCGTAATTTTTTGCTACTACCTGGGACCCTTTTATGAAAGTTTTTTCTAAGAACTGTGATAATACCCTAGCTTGTTATACCTTGTTGGATAGCTAAAGAAACGTAGATATTATTTAGTACATCTGCAGCATAACTGTCATAGACTTTTTTTGAAATATTCTTAAAAGAAAAAAAATGTTTATACAAATTTGTTTAGTTTTTAATCTTTCAATCATCGACTATTACCCAGTTGGTTCAGTTACCTGCTTTTTTTGCATTGAGAATAATAAACAAACTAATCTGCTACACAAAAATAGCAAAAACACTATGAATTAGTGACACAAAATCAGAAAAAAGGGTCAATTATACAAAAAATCTTCATTTTATTTAAAAAATAATCAAAATCCAATATCTCAGTATGGGTTGGTTTGCGGTGGGGTGTTTCATGGTCAAATCAGCTAGGAATGATGAAAACTAAAACCCCTTAAAGGATCTAGATCGACTTAACCTTGTAACCCTGTATAAAACTGAAGAGTTTGTTTGTTCGTTTGTACGCGCTAATCTCAGAAACTACTGATCCGATTTGAAAAGTTGTTGCTGTATTGATAATCCGGCTATCGAAGGCTATAAAACATCACGCTATTTTATTTCGAGCTCTTTGACTGGATTTTGGTGTTACATTGTTCTCTAAGCAACAAAACTATGTAACTAGCGAATTGTATTGTGAACCTGTTTGAAAAAGAGTATACCTATACCTATGAGGTGTCTTGTTCGTTAATTCTTCTCCATAGGAATCTACACCTTGGAACGAGCAAATGGCTTCACTTTTAATTTTTTGTTGACGTTCAAAAATGCCTGTGTGGTCTAATTGAAATAAATGATTTTATCTTGCTACGATCAATAGGCGCCGAGCAGAACGGGGAACAGTGCAGAAGTAGATAGACCTCTAGTGTTATTAGAGGTACACAAAACACTTAATTCCTACAACTACAACACAACAATATAAAGTCAACAAGAAGTTATGTACTTCAAGTTTAGCTTCGAAAAACATTAAAGCAGTTGCCTCTCTGTTAAATGTTAGTCTGTGCCCTCTGGCGGCAAGCTGGGAATTGGGTCAAGCGTTCTAGAAATTAACAATTTACTTACGCCCCTAACTGCGTGGTCCACGTAACAGTTAACAGACGTCTTAGTCTAGTTAATGTGGTTGTGATAAACTACGGATAGGTTTAACAGTTATACTTTACTAGGTATAGTTTATAGTGAAAAGTGGGTGTTACATTGTACAGTGGCATTAAGTGCTGCAATGTGCACCTAGCAATCCTATCGGGGATAAAAGGCGTGATGTTATGGTATGTTGTTTATTAGGTATCCATTTTATGCTACTACTGAATAACGGTGGCCTACAGATCGATACCTGGTTCAGGTTGGGTTTCCAAAAATTCTCAGCACGTTTTTTTGATTATGATATGATATTATAATATAACATAATAACAATTTATCCTCGAAGGGGTAGGTAAAGCTGCACTTTACGGCACTCAATGCCGTTATATACAATGTAACACTCACTTTTCACTATTTAAGTAATAAGTCCCATGTAATAGGCCTATTGCCATATACCGGGCACAATTCCAGACTCCGTGCTGATACTGAAATATTTTTAATATACCTAGGATTGCTTTTGCTCGACATAGAATTGGAACCCGAAGTCACACTTGCGACAACGAGGCAGTCGCTCGCCCAAAACTAATAGTTATACCTAGCAAAAAGTGTGTGTACTATAAGATCCACCTTTGCTTACATTATTATGAATGCTGGTGCTTAGTTAATACAGTTTAAATCTCCTTATTTCCCACTTAAGTTACACTTACAAGAGCAAACTAAAATCAAAAGTAAACACTATTAAGGACAGTAGTTGTACGCGCTAAGTGTCATGAATAGTTCTAGTTCATCGTTTGAGGGTACAGCCATGTCATTCACACTGGACAGCTACTCAACCTACCCCAATCTCTCAATTTCATTCATTGAATTTTCAACTCTATCTCAAAACTATAAAGTTGAAAATGTAGCAAAGAAATTTGACAAAAAGGAGTACGATGACCTGCGTTCGTACAGTCGTTAACACAATTGTTAACAATTTTGTGGAATGTTTTTAATTACGAGCGGTTTAGTGATGTCTAATAGACAAGTGTTGGATAGTTTTAAGTTGCCATTAGACGGGGTTTGTGGGTTTATGCACATTGTCCCATATGGTTAAAAGGGGGTTCATTAAAGGCGGACAACGTTGTTCTTCTTAAAAATAAGTCGCTTATGCGTCACGTGTTCTACCTTCGGAAGAACTCATTGTGGCATCCACAAATTGTTGTTACGGGTCATTTTTTTTTTTTTAAGTGGGAAAATTATCGAATGACTGCTCGCGCCTGGGTGAGGCGGGAGGGAGTGTCAGACTCTTACTGACTAAAAACCACCCCGTTCCTTCTTCTGCACGTCGAGTCGGAGCCCCGGTTACCCGTTAGGTTCTCCGCGACTCCGAATCGGCATCGGTCGTATTGGGCCCCATCTGTGGTGGTCTGATGGCTCTTTGAGGCGCGCGCGGAACGCGACGCGCCGTACGCTCGGGTCTGTTTCTGGTCGGACGGGGAGCCACCCATGCTCGCCGTCCGCAGGCCCGCGCTTACGGTGGCCGGAGATCGTACCGCGATCCCCGACGCCCGGTGTGTCCTTCGCGATGGCTGGGTTGCGAGGAGGCAGCGCTTCGCTGCCTCACGCGTCCCGCCTCCTCCTTAGCTAGCATGACTGCTTCGCAGAAGGAGGAGACGGCATCCCAGTCCCCCTCGCTCCGCATCATGGCCTGCACTAGGCCCGGACGCGAGAGGTCGCCATCGCCGATCACTTCCCTGAGGGCACGGCGGTGCTCAGCCCACGCAGGGCATTCTCCCACCGTGTGTTCCACCGTGTCCTCAGGGCGGTCCTCGCAGTGATGACACCCGGGCGTTTCCTCCCGCCCTATCTGACACAGGTACCTCCCGAAACTTCCATGTCCGGTGAGGACCTGCGTCAGGCGGTAGGTGAGGACGCCGTAGCGTCTCTCAAGCCACTCCTCAAAGAGGGGTCTTACCGCTGCAATGGCAGCGACGGGTCTAGAAGTAATGTATGTCATTTTTTTTTTAATTTATTTAAATAGAAACAAGAAAAATTTAACAAAATCGACATCTACAATCTGGTTCAGTCTACTATGCGCTTTAAAAAAAATCCAAAAAAATAATATGAATACCCTAGTGTTTGGTATTTGATACGTATTCATTTTTAAATAGCACGTCATTCATTATTAAGTATTGGACAAATATATTGTATGTATGTATATATGATATTTTTAATTAAAACTACTGCAAACAATACCCTTAGTTTACATTCACCCCAAAACTACTTCAGCAACCAACCTAAGATATCATTAGATAGTCTACATCTCTTCGTTACACAGCCGGCATACAAATAGCCCACAAGTACCCATAAATACTGGTCAATAGGAATTATATTTAATCTCCAATCCATATTTAACTTTGAGATAATACGATTATCTCAAAATTTCTAAGCCTCCTTCCCCGATGAGATGGTAAAAGTCCTTTTACCGCTTTTATCGTCCGGTAACAAAGGAATTAATTCTATGTAAAGAAAGATAATTAATTTCTCATATCTTCATGTAAAAAAGGTTTTTCTAAGTCGTTTTATGAATAACGTATACTTGCTTAGGCCCTTCTAGAGGTATTATTACTAACTGAAAAATATTTTCTTTTATTTCTTTGATTTTACTATGAGATGTTATATATATAAAACATCCCCGTTTTAAAGGTACACATACTAATGTCAAGCACCAAAGCATGCTTCAATACGATATTTGACAACTAGTCAAATTCAATACTTTTTTCGAACTGTCAAAAACGTCAATTTTAAATGAATTTTGTACGAGATTGTGTATTGTGACGTCACGTTTCTTAGCGTTAACCAGCGTACTTATTTCTTAAAAATATGCTGGAAAAATATTAAAATGCCTCGTTAGCTGAGTGGTCGCAAGTACGACTGCTGGGTAAGGGGTCTCGGGTTCGATTTCCTGGTCGGGCAAAGTATTACTGGGTTTTATACGCACATGCGATGCGTACTACACCGGCCACGCTAACATTTCTCGAGAAAACATCATAGAAAGCCGAAACAGACTCGTGTCTGAAATCGAGACCTCTTTCGAGAGAATCTCTGATTGGGATAGACTTAATTTGGTCCAGTTTAACCCAGCTAAGACACAGGTCTGCGTGTTTTGTTAAAAATGCCATTGGTCGTCTCTTCTCAGTTTAAAATCACCCCTCTAACTGCCCCAGCATTGGTGGTATTGGAACTAACTGGATTATTCGACGCCGACGTCCAAAAAAACATAGGTAAAGCGATTATGATCGAAAAATACAGCACTAAGTATTTTACTTCTATCTTGACAGTCCTGCTTACAATCACTTTAACGACCAAACAATTATCTGTAATAACACTACAAGCTACTAGAATTACTAAATTACAAAATAGTTTAATAATAAATTACATCTTATTTGTCTTTTCTTGAAAAAACGTTGTCTCATTCTAGGATTTCTTCTTGTGTCGTGGACGTGCGTTTACAAATATACAAGTTCACATACACATGACACCCAGACTCGAAACAACAATTTGTGGAACACACAAAGAGTTGTTCCGTGCGAGAATCGAAGCCGCGACACGTTGCCAGCCACCGTGGCAACCGTCTAGACTTTTAAAGTACAATCAAAGATAAAAGAGTTAAACCAATATATTTAAGTAGATAACATTCATTTTTCCAATAATACTGCTATAACTGCATATGAATTCATATATTTTTCCATTTTATATTTTTTTTTTATAAAATGCTTTTTGAACTTATCCACGTTTTGCCAATAGTTCATATTTCCAGTAACAGATGGTATTCTAAAGATATAACACATTTTGAACGAGTTTCATGAATTCAATAAAACAGTATTTTCTTTTTTATATTCATTTTTGTTTTTTGTCTGTAGTACATAGCATTATTTGCCATTACGTATTTTATGAACTGTATTTATTTTAGACTGTTTGTGGGAAAATGATTGAAACCTCTTCAGCTATACAATATGAAGATATACAAATTACCATTCTCTTAGCTTCTTTTATACAGTGAAGTGAATGTAAATGCCAAGTCACTCATTCTATTTTTCAGTATTATAAAAATACCAAATAAATAAAGATATCAACTTAAAATAACTCTATGAGTTAACATTTTGGTGGTTGTTTACGTAGGTTCTATGGAAACATAACTAGCAAAGAGAGCAAATACATATTTTTCGCAGCACACATGTTCATCCCTTTACTCAAAGAAAGATAACCGGAAAAAAATTCAGAAAAGGCTATCACGGTCCGATTCCTTGCTTACTTACAACTATTGTCACACGAATACGAGTAAAAAACAACCTTAAAGTAAACTACATAAAGTCGTACTCAGACGTAAAATTAACGGAGTCTGACCGTGTAACTGTGTACTCGTAAAATAGCGTTCCTTTTACGACCAGCCGATGATATCCGAAGACACCCGAACGTCGCCGAGCTGTAGAGTCAACAGCCTCCGGTTTTTGCTGACTTTGGGTACGAAGCGAAAACTTTTTCAGTAAGGCAATTTGGAGTGGAACCAAATTTACATATGTGATTAGATAGTAAAAGGAAATTTGTCTTCAGTTCGGTCTGGGACTTGGAATATGGATAATATGGATTGAATCTTTGATCAGTAGCGGTAGTTCCTGTTGCAATAGTGTGTGTCATCTTTACCTGTTCCACTTTTTTAGTAACTTTGAAAAGTAATCGTTCTGAAGCTTACTTATCCATCACCGCTGCCTGTTAAGATTTAAAACAAGTTATTCAATGCAATTATATAAATAGCTGATCTTCTGATGAAATCTGCCGCTCGCTTCGCTCCGCTGAGAAAATTTCGTTAGAGGCAGCCGCCGCGTTTTAATTTACTCCCAACCGAATACGTCTTGTGTGTTCGCATAAAATTACATGACGCCATTATAAAGCAATACGTATTCACAATAAGCCAACATACCCATAAATCCGTAACACAATAACAGAATTAACTGCGATTTATCGCCGTACGACGTTACGGAGGTACCGTTAACGAGGGCCGCGTCACGGCAGCTGAGAAATATTCGTCACAATTCGGCGTCCGTTCGCTAACAATCGGCACGCGCCATTTTCATCCCTTTTCAGACGAGGCTGCGCGGGCAGGCATGCGCACTGCCGCCTCCCCGTCAAACGCCGTCAGTGGAGCGGCGCGCCTTGCCGCACCGCGTTATAACCGCGCCCTCGACAGTGCCGATGTAAAAATTAACAATAATATTTAAAATTCCAACACGTTCCCTTTACCGCGTAAGTGTATCGAAATCGATTTAGAAATTTATTTCTTAATTTTATTGAAACACTTTTCTTCTCGATCGACTCTTCGCGTAGTGTATACGATAATTCAAATTTTGTAGTATAAGTGAGTTAATGTGTATGTAAAAGTGCAATGGAGTATGCCGGTTTTGTGTGTGTGTATAGACATTTGACGATTGTGTCGTTGATTGTACTTGGATTATATCGATGGTAAGTTTGCAAACGTATCGTAAAGCCGTGAATAACGCTGTAAGTTGAAATTAATGTTAATAAGCTTTAAATCTACATACATTCTACATGACAAGTTTTTGTGATTTATGTACCTTATTTTCCGGATTTATGTAGGTTCCACATAGATAAAAACTCGCTACTCGGTGATAAAGATTCTGCGAAGAATTTTTACGATCCATAAATTTAATCATACCTAGTACGAGGCGTTTTCGTAGATTTTTTCGATGAAATTTAGTATTTATGATACGTTTACGTCATGTTTTGATGGAGATTTATCAATTTTGTTAGAATGATTGTTCGTACTGTGATATATGAGTTTTGGTATATTTGTAAAAAATCAAACTATGAATAAATTCGAGCACAGGTTTACAACCTACAAACATTTCACTTCTGATGTATGAGTCGGAAATTAAAAGCAGCGGTCAACATTAAATAGCTCTTACAATGTACTTAATTAAAGTAGCCACCAATTCACGCGACAGCTTCACATTTTAGAATGAAAAATTATTTCCTAAAGCAATCAATCCTTTTAATGAAGTAGGCACAAACTTCTTCGGGTAACTTACACCTCACACTTCACAAAAACATTAATCATTGCTCCTGTGGAAGTTAATCAAGGTATTTAAATTTAAAAAGTAATTAAAATGTCGATCGAGGAATGAGGTTTCGTGTTAATTCAAAAAAGGGTGATGCATTCCCTTCCTTTACTTGTGAAGTAGGTAAATAGGTACGTTTTCCTATTATATTGTTATGTGAGGGGTCGTGGATTTTACCCTTATGATTGGCATTGGTTATTGATATGGTATTTTTCATAGATAATAATATAATTTAGTTTTCTTACTAATAGATACTAATGGATTTTATGTTCTGTTTATAGGTTCGGGCAAAGTATTACTGGGTATTTTTTAAATCTCAGTAGTAGCACGGAATCTGGAATTGTGCCCGGTATATGACAATAGGCTCACCCCTGTTCATGGGACTCATAACATAAATAGTGGAAAGCGGTTGTTACATTGTACAATGGCATTAAGCGCCGTAATGTGCACCTCTGTCTACCCCTTCGGCGATTACAGGCGTGACGTTATGTAATAATTGAGAATAATGCCCATTTTTAACGAAGATTTATTTAGATTTTCTTAAGGAACTGTCCGTTTAAACACTTATAATTAAAACTATCAATGACTTTTTGGTCAACTTGCATCATTGATAAATATAATAATAAATCTTGTCGGAAGAGTGAACCGAAATCGGTTCACTCTTCAGTAATTAAGAATTTCAATTTTAAATTGCATCTACATTTTTGTCTAATCGGGCGTCATAATTGTTCGTATGATATGATATTTTTCTCTTTTGTTTGTCTCATTGTGTACAGTGATTATTACGTGTAACACTTCGCTTCACTCACAGATAGATGGACGAACAATACGTTTCAAAACTACCAAATTAAGGATTAATTTAATTAAATGCTTTGACTTTGACTTCGACCATAACGCTAATAAGTCTTCAAAAATTCTCTCCACCAGTTACATTACAATTTCCATTGTCATCAACTATAACTAACTATATAACAAGTTATTTAGCTATCACATAACATAACATCACGCCTTTTATCCCCGAAGGAGTACGCAGAGGTACTCATTACACAATGGCATTTAATGCCACTGTACAATATAATACCTATGTTCTCTACGAGTCCCATGTAATAGTGGGTGTCGGGCACAATTCCAGCCTCCGCGGTATTTTTTAATACTTTGCCCGATACTGGAATCGAACCCGAAACCCCTTGCCGAGCAGTTGCACTTGTGACAACTCAGCCAACGAGGCAGTTATAATATTACTATCTCCCTGTTATATTACCGTTAATAAGTTCCAACTATTATAATAGCAATTTTGTTTTAGTATCAATAACTTGTTTGATAACGCTATACGAGGTAGTTTCAACGTTATTATTGTTCAATCTGAAGTAAGGGTTTGCCAGAACTTTGGAAGCAATACAAAATCCTATATGAATGTCGTGTTTTGTGGGTCAACTTAGTAATATTATAAATTCGTATCTGATTACTTAATGGACCATTACTGAAATCATCATTATCATCTACATTTTGGAATGAGCACCTAGCTTCACTTAGCTTCACTGACGGACTGACTGACAGACTATTATTTATTTTGTATTTGTTGACGTTTCAAAAGTACCAAATTGTGGTTTAATTGAAATAAATGGTTTGACTTTGACTTCATCACGAACAGCCTATAAATGCCCATGAGTAAAGACCTCTTCATAAACGTAGGTTTGAGCATTGATCACTGCTCGATGCGGGTTGGCGATCTCAGATTTATAATAATAATTAGAAATTAGAAGTCTAGGTAGGAAAACCTGGACTTTTAATTTCTAATTTCAATTTTTCTTATTAGTCAGTGGTGTAATAAATAATTTTAGAAAATACATAATTATGACTGAATAAGTCACATTGGTACTTGCTATTTAGTAGGTTTCGATAGCGCACGCTCGTGCATGAGAACCACTGAAACCAGATTATAACTGAAATACAGTCAGTGTTTTCAAATATTCCACTTAAAAAATCGAATTTCACAGTAAAATTTTCTTAGTGTGACATAAATAGGTATATGTTTATAAAGTATACACATCGTATTGAGATCAGGGACAATTTTGTAGATCATACACAATAAAGAACATTTTTGCAGCTTACCACTTACCACATACATTTCTGCACTACCCAAAAGATGACTGGCAGAGAATGCTGTTAGCATTAAGTCTTCCTTACGCAATTGTATAAAACTTAAATAAATAAAAAAAAAATGTTCCTTGGAAATAGCGAATCGTTGTGCAACTACACGTAGGTATGCGAAATCTTCATAACTATTTCGTAAATAAAAGGCCTACTCTAATCGTTTTGCTCTGGTATAAAAATTGATGCTCTTTATTCAACCAACGAAACAGAACAAACGATGAACCATTTTCATCATCAATCTTAATGATAATTAGACCATTATACAGTGTATAAGTAGCTACTGCTGATCAAAGGCATCTTCTCGCAAATAAAATGAAATGAACCATGTTTCAACTAAAAACAAAACTGCTGATCTGATGTAGCATAAAGTCATTTTACTGACATATGGTAACCAGACAATATTTCTCTAATGATTTTGATTTCTATGTCAGATGGATATAAGGTTGGTTTTAGCAGTAACGTAACATAATGTATGCACATGTTACCAAGGACCCATGGGATGTTCACTAAAATGTCGAACTAGACTCTAGTTAGACAGTTTGAAGGTAAAATGTATTATTTATGTGACACTGTTTGACGGGGACTAAATAAAATATTAATACGCTTTGATGAACTTAGTTGGTATGAATGAACACAGCGTAATAAGCCAAGTCAAGTGCAAATTATAATTGTAATGCTCACTAGATGGCACTAGTGCCCCTTCTCTCGTTTTTCGTCCAATGAGGAATTAACTAGTGTCACTAGTGTAGTGATATTTGAAAACGATAGTGATTGGACACGTGATACCACAGCTTCATAGAACACCGACGTCAAACGACGCTTGCTATATTCCAGTTACCCCCTCCCCTAATTCTTAATCCCCAAAAGGCCGGTAACGGACTTGTAACACCTCTGGTGTTCCGGGTGTCCATGGGCGGCGGCAATTGTGGTGATCCGTCTGCTCGTTTAGAACTATAAAGTACACCATTTTCTTGAAGGGGTACCTGAGTAAGGAGCGAGTCTGTTTCCATACACTAAACATAATTTTGGACTAGTAAGAAATATAGTAATCTGAAAATATTAAAATCTTGAAGTTATCCGACACTGTAAACATTTTTGTCATGTCGCCACTTGGCTAAAGACAATCAAAGAAGGTGTTTTAACAGAAGTTTCATTAAAAGTAACAATTACAGACAATTGTCGGAATACTGAAACGCTACTCAATTTTAAGTCGTGCTTAAGTATAGTTCTATCTCTACAAATTCTTTCTAAAATGACAGAGATGACACGATATTTGAGCACGACTTAAAATTGAGTAACGTTTCAGTATTCCGGCATATGACACGTATACTTTTGACGTTGCATTTTTGACCAACCGCTCTTAAATGTTAAAGAACCCTTAGAACCTAACGGGTTACCGGGGTTCCGGCTCGAAGTGCAGGAGAAGGAACGGGGTGGTTTTTAGTCAGTAAGAGTCTGACACTCCCTCCCGCCTCACCCAGGCGGTAGCAGTTATTTGATGATTACTTAACGATATTTTGTGAGATACTTAAGTGACTCTTAACGACATTTTGGTTATTACCAACGTATAAGTGACACTTGATAGTACAAGTAAATAGTTAAGGTAAAGGTTTAGGTATTATTTAAGGGTGGATTAAAAGGGTTATTAAGCATTTTTATGTTTCTAAAACAATATTTGACGACAGCAATATTGCACAACCTGATGCGTGTCAAAGCGAACGGATGACACTTGAAAAAGGTAGTAAAACGAATATTTACTTGTACCTAGAGCGGGGTTTTGGTAAACAAGAAGGTACCAACTTTACACTATATCGATATTCACATAGGGATGGCCCAACTATGTATTTTGCAGTAGACCGGTCGACTGAAATAATTTCAACTAAAAGTATTCTTTTTTCGAAAAATATAAAAACTAATTCTGTGATTTTTTTTAATTTTTATTTGTAATCTTGTTAAGTCAGTATTCATATGAAATAATCCGGTAAGCAGCAACTTTACTTATTGACATATCGACGACAAAAGTTAATATTTGTAGTTTCGTAGTACTTTAGATATATATAACATCACGCCTTTTATCCTCGAAGGGGTAGGCAGAGTCGCACATTATGCCACTGTACAATGTAACACTCACTTTTTAATATTTATGTTATGAGTCCCATTTAATAGAGAGTGAGCCTATTGCCAGATTCCGTGCCACCACAAAGATTTTTTTAAAAACCCAGTAATACA